ATTACATTTCCATCCTGTCCTCCTTAAACGGATCACTCTGGGTCCATTTTTCTACTCGACAAACCTCAACGACGCCCTTCACCATCCTCAGTCTGACTCTCCTCTGAAGGACAGGCTGCTAGCTCCACCCATCTGTCCCTGCAATCAGGGAGCCAAGTGTGAAAACACCAATCACACCCACCTTTCCATCAGAGGAAGAGGAAGTTCAGAGGCCCAGCGCAGACAGAAATACAGATTATACCTGTTCTTTTGTGGCTTTTGAAGATGGCTCAGAGAATAAAGACCTTCTGCTGCATCTCCTGTTTGAAACGCCTTAAACTGACGTGTTTAAACCCAGCAGCAGAACCAAACATCCATGACCAACAACCACGTGCTGGGTTCATGCTTTCAAACAGGAGTATGTATAAGAGCGCCCGGCCAAAAAGCCCACGGTGATCTTTCCAGGAGTTTAATATCACTGACCCCCAGCGTAGCTGTGGCACATTTATTCCAACAAAACCGTCATTAAAATCTAAAGAGAAAAACACAGAGCTGCCCTGCATACATAAACCCTTACAGCACACTCGCATGAAGGAAACAATAAAAACCCTCTCTTCCTTTAAAAATGCCACACCACACTAGACTCAACTATTCGTTTAAAAAACACTCCTCAAACCTTTTCAAGAATTTCTGTTTGTCCTCAAACAAATCTCTTCTTTTCTTTACATGGAAGGTTTGACATGATCAATCTGATCCAGTGGGAAACATCTGGATTACAGGCTTATTCTCGACTTTATTCCAGGGGTGGGGAACTCCAGGCCTCGAGGGCCTGCAGGTTTTAAATGTGTCCTTGATCCATCACAGCTGATTTAAATGGCTAAATGACCTCCTCAACATGTAACATTCTCCAGAGGCCTGGTAATGAACTAATCATGTGACCCAGGGGGTCAACACACTTGAATCACATGATTAGGCGTCCTGCAGATCTAAAACCTGCAGGATGCCGGCCCTCGAGGCCTGGAGTTGGACACCCCCGATCTAACACATTTAAACTCTGCAGCTCTTGAATGTTTGTCAAGTTTCTGGATAGAAACCAGGTAGAAACAGCTTTGTGTCTACTGAAATTTATTTTCAGCTCCTTTGTCTCATCACCCCTACAGAAAGAGGTTGAACCGGATTTGAACATAGAGACCTGCTGCTGAGCAAGCTGATTGGCTGACAGTGACCGTGTTTCCACCTGAAGCAAACCGGCTGAAACTGACGAAGTGAGGACGCCGTTTCAGGAGAGGCAGCAAAGACTCACCGAATATATAAACGATGGCGACCGCGCCGCCGACTCCCATGAATCCCGCCAACCGTAGCACCATCTTCTTGGTGTAGGTCGTGTTCTCCTTCTGCTTCCTGTCCTCGGCCTTCTCGCCCCCCCTCTCGCCCTCCCCTCCCTCTGGAGGAGGCTGACCCTGAAACAAAAACAAGCGTTTCTGTTTGACTCTGAACTAGCACTGATGCGCTCACCTTCAGTCTGAACTGAGAGGAAAGCGTTAGAGACGTCAGCTTCATTCAGTTTAACACAAGGAAATGTTTTTGCGTCTCTTTTAAACAAACAAGCAAAAAAAAAACTTTATTCTCAAAAGCAGAATTTACAGAAACAATAAAAACTGGCAGGAGGTGGTTTGGTGTGTATGCTGGCACAGTCGACAGAGTGT